GGATCTGTAAGTACTGGAAAGAGAGCATCTCAAGGGATATGCCTAAGAAAAAATACCTGGGACACTATGGTAAAAATCTCATTTTTGTTTTTTAAAGCAGTCATATTTGTTATATTCACTTGGAAAAAGGGCAAAAGGAAAGAAAGCTCCGGAGGGATATACACCAAACTGTCAGTGGTGGTCTTGGGGTAGGAGTGGAGGTGAGGTTGTGGGAATTTTCCTTTGTTACATATCCATTAAATTTGTTATAATTCATGTAACATATGTAATCAGAAAACTCACACACACACACACACACATTCAAGCACTCAGGGCATCCATACCTGAGGGCTCCCACTCCCCAGGGCTCTCAGAGGCAGAGGCTGGCACGGGGTATTGCTAGCATCCTCAGGATGTGTCAGCAGAGATGAATGACTTCTTCGTTGAACCCAATGCCAGGGCTCATGTGTATATATGAGCCCCTGAGTGTGCTTCCCAAACTGGGCTCTCGTTGAAAACCTCTTGCTTCTATACTCATTTTGGGGGGAGAGGCTCCGTGGTATTCAACACATGTTCAGAAGGGTCTAGTTGGGACCCAGGAGACGTGGGGCCAAATCCCACAAAAGGGGGATAACAACAGCTCGCCTTCCTGTTTCATGATGTGAGAATCAGACAAGCTGATTGATAAAAAAAAATGACTTTCCAAACTAAAGGAAGCACAGAGCAACTGATCATTCTATTCTATGTCCCATGGGGACTGCAGAGGGCCACCTGGGGGCAGGGCACAATCCCTGAGCCCTCCTGGTGGCACGGAGCTACTAAGAAGGAAGTACAACACAGTATAAAGAACTGTGGGGAGGGGCACTAGTAGATGACACTTCAAATTAAGTGGGCACAGCCCCCTGCAGGGCTGATGGTGAGGGCCTGCATTTCCTCTTCACTTGCCAGCATGTGCAGGCAGCGTGCTGAGCACCCTGACCCAGCCAGCAGGGGAGAGCGCCGCAGCCAATGTTCTCAGAAGACACTTCCCAACCCCCAAGCAGTCACTCAGTTCCAAGCAGAGTGGTGCATGGAAGTCAGAGGTGCCTCTCACTGCAGTGAGGCTGCTGCATGTGACTGCAGAATGTCTGTGGCTGCAGAACTTGCTGGAGGACACAGCCGGGCCCTTGGAGGTCAGGCCTGCTGAACAGAGGAGCAGGGGAAGAAGAACCCCCCTGGTCATGGTATAGTGGCCACTGCTTCCAGCCCACCCTGCACTCAGCTCCTGTTTCTCACTCTCTCCCTTCCATGGCAATGCTGGCTGAAATTTTGGATTTCTGTGCAAAACGACTGCAGAAGCCCATCTGGATTCTGCAGGTCAGATGTATTATTCCCCAACTCGTCCCTACCCATTGATCGACTTTCAGATGTCTTCACCATCCCTCCACTGCAGTGAACTGCTGGGGAGAGTCACAGGCAGGTGGCAGGCAAAGCTCCATTCACTCGCCTCTCCCAAAGGGATAGAGCAGAGGGGTGGACTGAGGACAGATAACACATTTGCTTTTCTCTTTCTTCTGGGCCAGTGAAGAGAAACTGCTGCAGCCAGAGAAGAGGGAGCAGTGAAAAGGTTCCCTGCTTCATTTTGATTATGACAGAAACTGTGGCTGGGTATGCAACTCTGTTTATATGTGTTTCCCATCTTACAGTAACTTATCATCTTGGCCTCAAAGCACTTTCCAGAAACAAGCTGAAGGGGCTTCAAGTAGAAACAGGTCTCTGGCTGCCCCAGGCTCAGAGTGGTCAACAAGGCTAGATGTGATGGGCATAGCACCTCCCTCCTGTGATCCGCTCCACTTTCCTTTCACTCACTCTGCTCCAGCCACACTGGCCTCCAGACACACTCTGACCTCTGGGCCTTTCACATCCATCTGTTCCCTCTGCCTGGAATGCTCTTTTCCCAGATATCTTCATCCTCCTTATGATCTTTGCTCAATCCCAACTTCTCAGTGAGGGCTTCTCTGGACAAGTTCTTAAATTTATAGCTCCCATCTCCATATGCTCTTCAACCCCCTTCCCGACTTTATTTTTCTCAGTAGCATTTAACACCATTTGACATTCCATCTATTGTATTATTTATCTTATTTATTATCTGTCTCCTTCCACTACAAAGTAAGCTTCCCTGAGGATAAGGGTTTTGTCTGTTTTGTTCACTGCTATGTTTGCAGTGTGCCCGGTATAGCATCTGGAACATAGTAGGTGCTCAACAAATTGTTGTCATTGTTGTTTGTGATTTGCCTTCCTACCCTTCAGTCCCTGGCACCTCATGGATGGGTAGACAGGGCCACAGGGAAGTAAAGGAATGAAGAAGAAGGGTGACGAAAGGAGAAGAATATTAGGAAATATGAAAAAGTTATATGTGTAGAGAGATGATAAGGAACCAAGTATAAGGTAAGAGACTTCTGATTAAATAACAGAGGACTTATAGAAGGTCAAGTTTGTGCTAGGAAGGAAGTACAACACAGCAGAAAGGGAAACTCTCCAGAATCTTCAGAAAATATAACCTGAGCAAGCAGTCAATACTTGGGCACAATTCCCGGGGTTTGGCTACAGCCACAGCTTTGGGCCTCCTGCCGCAATGCTATCTTCTGTAGGCCAGGGGAGCTATGGACAGCAGGCCTGGAAAGAGGAGCAAGAAACTAGGAAGAGAAAGAAAGGAGGAGAAAAGGCCAAGTAAAAGACCAGGTGGGTGATCTAGGAGAGTATGGGTGACAGACCACTGGGCAATGGAGGAGACTGAAGGTGAGAGGCCAGGAGAACTTCAGCAAGAGAGATGAAGGGAGGAGACAGGCAGGGGCAGGAAGAAGGGAGCCTCAGGAGAAGAAGAGATGGGCAGAGGTGGGAGGCAAGCATGAGTATGTTGTTACTATACAGAGTCAGACATCTCACAGGCCTGTTCAGGGAAGTGTCACTATTGCTCCTGCATCCCCGTGTCACTTTTTTTTTTTTTTTACTTTTGTGTTTTTACTATTCTAAAGTTCTCAGTTCTCATGCTGTTTCCAAGAGATGGATGAAATCTTATATATATAAACTTGGAAGAACTATTTAATAATTTGGAAACTTTTAATATTTTGGTCATGTTTAGGAGGATTATATTAAGGTATCTTCCCCTTGAATTCAGTAATAGTAAAAAAAAGTCACTCTGAAATCGAATCCACCAAAATCAATAAAGAACAGATGCTTTTTGCTACTTGCCAAATTAAGTCAAATTAAGAGGCAATTTATGGCACTGGCCAGGTAGCTCAGTTGGTTAGAGCATTGTCCTGATACACCAAGGTTGTGGGTTCAATCCCTGGTCAGGGTACATACTAGTACAAGAATCAACCCATGAATGCATAAATAAGTAGAACAACAAATCGGTCTCTCTCTCTCTCTCTCTCTCTCTCTCTCCCCCCCCCCCTCTTCCCCTCCCCTTCTCTAAAATTAATCAATAAAAATTTTTTGCTAAGAGGCAATATGTCCAGCCAGCGTGGCTCAGTGGTTGAGCATTGACCTATGAATCAGGAGGTCACAGTTCTATTGCCGGTCAGGGCACAGGCCTGGTTTGCGGGCTCGATCCCTGGTGTGGGGCATGCAGGAGGCAGCCCATCAATGATTCTCTCTCATCATTGATGTTTCGCTCTATCTCTTTCCCTTCCTCTCTGAAATCAATTTAAAAATGTTTTTTAAAGAGGCAATTTATAATGGAGATGCAGGGACTAGAATGCTTCATGAGGCATTTTCTAGGAGACTAGTAGGCTCTTAGACTAGGGAGTTTCTCAGTCTAAGCAGGGTGATCAATTAGGATATGTCTTTAGAACTGGAATACATTTAATGCAAATAAAGTTGTAAGTTATATCAATCATATAATATTCAATCTTATTTTGCAAAGTCAGTTGTATGGAGTCTAGTTAAAGGAAGGTCAAGAAATGATACTTTTTTTGTGCACATCTAGCTGGTCCAAAGGAGATTCTTCTCTAATTTGAAAGCCCAATCCTGATTTTCAACATAGCCTTGATTTGGAGAATCAAAATGAACCCAGCTAGCCTAGCTGCATGGAAATATTCCTTCAGCCTGGCCCATGTAGCTCAGTGGTTGAGTATCGACCTAAGAACCAGGAGGTCAAGCTTCGATTCCCAGTCACGGCACATGACCAGTTTGCACACTCGAGTGCCAGTAGGGGGCATGCAGGAGGCAGCCGATCAATGATTGTCTCTCATCATTGATATTTCTATTTCTCTCTCCCTCTCCCTTCCTCTCTAAAATCAATCAAAATATATATAATTTAAAAAAGAAATATCCCTTCAAAACATCTTATTGCCTTTGTTCTAATTCTTTGCTCACTAAGGTAATTTGTGATCCCAAACTGTTTATAAGTTGACCTCTTAAAAGGAATGCCCACCACAAGGGTTCTAAGCTAAGAACCATGTCTGTAGTCTGGCCAGAGAGAAATATCCTGTTGTTAACTGGCACACAGGCATGCCTGTATATAGATCCTTCAGTCACCTGAGCATTTTGGAAAATTGTGTCCTGGTTCCTCTGGCCTCACCCCAGAGAGCAGGGATACAATCCTGTGATAAAATTCTGTACCCAGCCCTGCAAATCTAAGGACTGATCACGGAGCTCCAGGTTAGCCCTTGTCAGGTATTGACCACAGGGAGGGCTTATTGGAAACAACCAGTTTCTCCTTTTTGCCTCCTCTTAGCTGCAACCAAAATTCAGTGGCCAAATAGCTAAATAAAAAGGACTGCACAGTGCTACATCTGAAATGATTTCAATACACCTGGCATCAGGTCATCAATATGCAGTGCACTTTCCAGGACGCATTTCGTACTAACCCACCGTCTAAGCATTTGCCTTTCTAAAGGAGCAGAGGACTGAATGCAGGATATAATTCCCTCATCTGAGATGTTTGTGATTCCCTTCTCCTATATTCAGGGCAACTCTATGCAAACTAGCAGAAGGAGTGAAAGAAAATGGCCTGGGAGGACAGACACAGGGTTTACCCTCCTTCTCTGGAAGATGCAACCAGCCTGATTCTCTGTTTTGGAGATCAAATCCTCGACAGCATAGCTTTCCATCTCGATTGCAGAGGACCAGAGTCAGACTTGTTTCTCTTTCCAGCCAGGGTAGTTTTATTCCATTCTGCATGTTTCCATAACAATTTCCTTCCCCTCCCTACCTCCAACGGCATTCCGAAATGCCTCTTGACCAGAGACACAAAGCCACCTCCAGGGTCAGCCATATTGCCAGCATCGAAGAGGCAGTGGGCCACCTGCTGGAAGGCGTGGGCACTGCTCTGGCTACTTGGTTCTCTGCCTCCTTGAGGGCCTTTGAGCCAGGCAGGTCTACGGCAGGACCACAATCTTTTTCTCCAGCTTCTGTGGTGGAAACAGGAAGTTTCTCATTATTTCATCCAGCTCTTCCAAAGCCAGCTGGGCATGGAGCCTGGCCACGTCATCAGGCTCCGAACGCACGACATGCTTCAGCAGGTGGTAGAGATCCTTGAGAACGTCCCTCAGCACCTGTACGAGAGAGAGTCAGGTCTGTGTCTCCTGTGTCAACATTTCCAAGAATGACCAAATTGCCTTGTCCTGCCTGGCCAGAGTGGCCCAGTGGTTAAGGGTTGACCTATGGACCAGGAGGTCACGGTTCGATTCCCAGTTGGGGCACATACTTGGGTTGCAGGTATGTGTTTTGCTTAGAAGAAATAGGGCCTATAATCTTAATCACTATGCTATGCTGTGTTCTTTCTATTTATTAATAATGCTACCTACATGCATCAGGTTGGGTTCACCTCACTATATGCAAACATCTATGACAATAATTGGTTCAAACGAACTTAACATTTTTTTCTCAAACAACAGGAACTTCAAGAGTTGACTGTACATCGAAGTCTGTGCCAATATATAATTTCTAAAAAAGGAGGATGATCAGCCCTGGCTGGTGTGGCTCAGTTGGCTGGGCAACATTCTGTGCACTAAAGGGTCGCTGGTTCGATTCCCTGTCAGGGCACATGTCCTGCATTGCAGGCTCGATCTCCAGTAGGGGCATGCAGGAGGCAGCCAATCAAAGTTATGCTCTCACACCGGTGTTTCTCTCTCTCTTAAAATCAATTTTAAAAAAGTAATAAATATGTATAATAGCCATATTATATAAACATGGAGTATTCCTGCAAAAATACATTTAAAAACTAGTTGTCTCCAGAGAGGGAAACTGGGGAGAGATGGGGGGAATTATATACTCTTTTGTACCTTTTCAATGTTTAATTTTATGAATATTTTACCTATTAAAAAATAAATAAGCTTTTTAATTGAACTGAATCAATTCTTAGATAACGCTTTTCCTAAGGCCATTTCATAGGTAAAACAGATAAGGAATCTGCCCTTAAAGGGCTCACAGATGAGACATGCATATAACTAAAGACGGTACAGAACAGAACATGGTAAGTGTCCTAAAAAAGAGCAGGGAGATGAGAGGTTAGAGAAAAGAGAGGTCACATTTGAAGAACAGGAAGTAAACTGGAGATGGTGCACAGAAATGAAGGGAATTGATTAATTCGGTGGGTAACGAGTACACGGTCTGGGCCCAAGGACTCCTGCGCATTCCACACAAGTATTCTAGAGAACAGAGAAAGGGCCCTTTCCACCTTCTGTATTCTTGATCAGCATGGGGACTAGGGTGCAGAAGGAAGAAGGTAGAGAAAGAGGGTTATACAAATCAAGCCCCCAGGCCACAGGGCTGGTCTCCCTCCTGTCCCTTGTGCTCCAGTTGTGCAGGCCCCCTTTCTTTCCTTGTCTGAGCAAAGCTCCTCCCCTGCATATGCTGTTCCCTCAGCCTGGAAGACTATTTCACTTCTCTTCACCTTAGAATTCCTCCTTATTCTTCGCCTACAATACCACTTCCTCAGGGATGCCTTCCCTGAACACCCACTGTAAGCCTTCCTACCCTACCTGTAGTTTTGTTTGTGCCTCTATCACAATCGTGATTTAAATCTGTGTTGCGTAATTTAAAAAGTTTTCCTCACTGGTCACAGGTACTACTGACGCTGAGGCCATGTCTTGTCTTGTCCACCTGCTGTCATCTCAATGCCTCATACAGTAATTGGCACATGGCAGATACCTAAGGCATATTTATGAATGAAAGAAGGCATGGGCCAGTCTCTCACTTGGTAAACACTAAAAATGTTAAGGACATCTGTTGAAACAATGCTAGACAACCTGAGTCAACTTCATGGGTGTACTAGTATGATCTGTGCAGTCACATTGGGACCCTCAATCAGAGGGCCCATGCTTGCTTTAATAATCTGCTGTTGTCACCTTAAAATTCGTAATAATCTTATCTTTGGACTTGTATGTTTATGTGAAGTCTAATGGGACAAAGGAACATGAGTGTGAGCAGAGCAGATATGCCCAATACGCATGTCCACCATTCTTTGCCAGTGCATTTGAATATAGCATTTGCCGTGCTCCGTGAGCACAGAATTCTGAAGGATCCACAATGTGTGGAGTTGAGCAATGTTCAAAGCCAGTAACGGGGAGTATGTTTGTTACGTTTACAGCTGAGTGAATGGAGGCACTGACAGCCCGCAGAGGCCTCATTCTCCATTAGAACCAGAACTTGCTTCAAACACAGAAAGAAGGAATGGCTTTCTAAGAAGCATGGGCCAGGAAGGAACTCTATGTATCCTCCATTTTGCCTCCCTGTTTTAACCAACCATTTACACCGAAAATGGTGACATGGAAGAAAATAGGACAACCCACAGTCTTATTCCTTTCAGTCCATTCTCTCATCAGTAAATCGAAGGTAAAGAGTGTGGCAGAATATGCATGGATCAAGAAGTGAAATAAAACAGTTGAGTGTTTTGTGTGGAGTTCCCACTGTTCTGCTCAGAAGGAAATACATAGGCATGTAAAAGCTACAGAATATAAATTGTGTAATTTCGGTGATTCTACATCTGAATTAAATATTCTTATATTTGCATTTTAAATTGGCATTGCAATATAAAGATGAACAGTAAAATTCATGCTAATAACTTACATTTTCTTTTCTTAGAATAAAATTAGTAGCAAATAATAAACACCACGACAAATCAAGAGAGAGAGATCATGGCAGGAAAAAAACTCCATATTTTAAAAATATGTGGGCAAAAAAGGGACAACATACTAAACCTGACAAACTCAGGGGATGCCCACATGACGAGCCTTACAAACCCAGAGACCAAAGTAACAACACAGCATATTCTGAACATAAGAATTCCTAACTAAAAGTGGGTCACGGCAGGTAGTCATGTCCTAGGCCTGTAGCCTCCTTGACAATGGTCAATCTTTAACTTTGAAATTGTCTACTGTCTTTGGGCATCTAAGATAACATACCTTTGAAATGTCAGGGTAATCTTCTTTTCTAGACTCCCTGAAGGTACAACCTGGGTACCGGAGCCCACATTGTTATCTTTTTGACCACATACCATCTCTATGTGCTGTAAATGTTAACTATTAACTACCATGTACCCACCTGTATAAAAGACTGACGTGTCTCTCCATTTCCCTTTTTTTATTCAGTCCTCAGAGATGTCCACACCTCCCTAATCTACCACCAATGGATTTCATGCAACCCTCTTACATCTCCTTCTTTGATTCTAATGTATAAAATGAGCTGCAAAACTACCATTCTCCAGAGCATTTTCTTAATCCATTGAGATATTGCTTCCCAGCCATTGTCAGTTTGGCTCAAAAAAAAAAAATTGTGTAAGACTTTTTCCTAGGCTGGATGTTCTTTTGTTGATGCCATTGGTAACACTTTTTTCTTTTTCTTTTCTTTTTTTTTGAACAAGGGACCCTGCATTTTCTCTGTGCTCTGGGCCCCACATATTACGCAGTCAGCCTTGAAGACAACTCTCTGAGCTCCTTGCCCAATGATACCACATTAAGTGGTGGGCAAACCTCACAAATAACCTGCCCATCCATATTGTGCACTTGCTTCCTGGGTTTTCTCAAAAAACTGTGGAGACACAATAGGGGTTAGGTCTGCTCGTGGAGGCATCTGACTCTAACTGGGGCACTATCCCAGCTGCCCTTTCTTTCCTCGGGGCTGGCAGTGTGAAAATGGGAGATGCATCAGGAAGGAGGATGACTCCCCATAGCTATGCCTCATGCCTCACGATTACTCACTCATTCAGTAATCATTCTAAAGGGCCTACTTCATGCCCAGGCAGTGGGCTGGTGATAAAAAGATGAATAATGCACAAACCTACCCTCTGGCAGCTATAGCCTAGCGGGGAGGCAGACTCATACCCCAGACAGCATGATCCTCACTATAGGAGATAAATACTGATAAATACCCGATTCTGTGGAGGCAAAGGAAGTGATTTCTGCCAGTGGAGGTGGGTGGGGAAAGAATAACTCCCTACCATGCAAAAGGGCCATCACTGACTTTTATTTGTAGCCAATGAGTGGCACCAAGGAGTGGCTTGGGAAGCTTCAAGGAGTCTCCTCACCTCCAAGTCACCTAAAATAAATGCAGATTATGAACAAACCAGGCATCCTTGTTATGCAAATACATCTTAAAGACAAGTCTCCTAATACACTCTCCAATGGATTACATAGAAATTCTAGAGCTCCTACAGTTTATTACAAGGGCATCTGTTTTTTCTTAA